CACCACTCGTTACTGGTCTCCAGCCGGACATTGAGCCATTGACCACAACTCTTTGTGTGTGGCCATCCAGCCAGTTCTTTATCCACCGAGTGGTCCACTTATCAAATTGATGTCTCTCCAATTTAGAGACAAGGATATCGTGTGGGACAGTGTTGAACGCTTTACACAAATCCAGGTAGATGACATCAACTGCTTTACTGCTGTCCATCAGTTCTGTAGCCCCATCATAGAAGGCCACCAAATTGGTCAGGCAGGATTTCCCCTTAGTGAAGCCATGCTGGCTGTCACCAAGCACCTTGTTGTTTTTCATGTGCCTTAGCATGCCTTCCAGGAGAATCTGCTCCAAGATTTTGCCAGGCACAGAGGTGAGACCGACTGGTTGACTGACTGGTCTGTAGCTCTCTGGGTCATCCATTTCCCCCTTTCCTTCTTATCATATGGTGATCTCTTCCTTTCCTTTCCTTTCCTTTCCTTTCCTTTCCTTTCCTTTCCTTTCCTTTCCTTTCCTTTCCTTTCCTTTCCTTTCCTTTCCTTTCCTTTCCTTTCCTTTCCTTTCCTTTCCTTTCCTTTCCTTTCCTTTCCTTTCCTTTCCTTTCCTTTCCTTTCCTTTCCTTTCCTTTCCTTTCCTTTCCTTTCCTTTCCTTTCCTTTCCTTTCCTTTCCTTCCCTACCGTACCCTACCCTATCCTTTCCCTCCCTCTCTCCTTCCCCTCCCCCTTTCTCTCCCCCTCTTCCTCCTCTTCTCCTTCCCCCTCTCCCTCTCAATCCCCCTCTCCCTTCCCCTTCCCCTCTCCCTTCCCCTTCCCTTCTCCCTTCCCTTCCCTTCCCTTCCCTTCCCTTCCCTTCCCTTCCCTTCCCTTCCCTTCCCTTCCCTTCCCTTCCCTTCCCTTCCCTTCCCTTCCCTTCCCTTCCCTTCCCTCCCCTCCCTCTCTAACTCTCCCTCTCCCTTTCAATCCCCCTCTCAATGCCCCTTCCCCTCTTTCTTCCCTTCCCCTTCCCCCTTCCCCCTTCCCCTCCCCCTTCCCCTTCCCCCCTTCCCCTCTCTCCCCCTTTCCCTCCCCCTCCCCCTCCCCCTCTCCCTCCCCTTCTCCTTCACCCTCCCCCTCCCCCTCTCCCTCTCAATTCCCCTCTCCCTTCCCCGTCCCCTCCCCCTTCCCCTCCCCCTTCCCCTCCCCCTTCCCCTTCCCTTCCCCCTTCTCCCTTCTCTTCCTTTTTCCTTCCCCTTTTCATTTTCCCTTTCCTTTTCCTTTTCCCTTTCCTTTTCTTTCCTTTATTGTTTTTTCCTTTTTTGTCAAAAATTCCAAGGGCTAAATATTTCTCTGGCTTAATGCTAATCTGTGCTTGAGTACAGTAGAAGGAGCTGAGAAACAATACTGTAATTGAGAAAAAAATGTGAGCCCACTGCCTACTTGCTGCTCAGGAATTCTGTATTGCTTGGGAGAGTTGTGTTCAGTGATTTCTTTGCCTGTAGCTTTGAGTATTCTTTTTCTATATTCCTACCCTTGAAAAATAAAATGCATGAGTGTATTAACCCCTAAAATGCTTTGGCATCTGTGTGATATATTTCTTCACCTCCCTTTGACAATAGGGTGAGAAGTTTGCTATTGGGGGTGAACATGGACATGAATCCAGAACATGAGGTAGCTGATATACTGTTTTCTTATACTTTCAGTGTAAAGCCTATGTATCTTAACTAAGAAATTTAACACAGTTTGTGGTGTGGTAGCCTGACTTGTTAGTTTAGAAGTGTCGGCAAGGCAGCACAGTCAGCATTTGGATGACCAGGGCATTGGCCACTGCTCATGTGCTCAGATTCACCACCTGAGAAGTCTGATAGTTGCTGCAAAGCAGTTCTGGGCAGCAGTGCCGACACACAGTACTACTTATTTCTCAGAAGGCAGTAAAACTCTGTAGTAAATAAAAAATCATTCAGCATGCTATTTTATAAACTGGTATAATGCTGTTACTGTCAGCAGTGACTGACAATTGCTCCTTTATTTAAGCACAATAGCCACGGGGAAGCTGCAGGACATTCTCAAGAGGAAGGCACTAAGGAACGGACAGTGCCTCCTGTTTTCCCAATGGCTAATAGAAAAACAACTGTCTTTCTATAATTTTGCTTCATGGATTGTCACGCAGCAGCATGCAGCTGCAATGCTGGCACGCCTGCAACAGGCAGCGACACTGTGACGCCAGGATGTGGGACCTATCCATCCTTTTTCTGTCTAGGTGTTCCCTTCTGGGTATTCCTAAAATGTTGGTGCGTTACTGAGGACCAGAGGCCAGCGCTACATCTGTACAAGTTCTGTGTGCTGAAGCATGCTCGCAGTTTTGTAAAATTACATGGTTGTGATGGAGGGAAGTAATCATCATAAAAGTTAACGTATGTGCTACTCTTCTACTCACAATGTTCTTTCCCCTGCTCACTAGTTAATCTCCACGTTATCATCTACCTGGTATTCCTTTTCTCCTCACTGACTTCTCTGAACATGACAGATTTCTCCTTTTCCTATACTACATTAGAGGCACTTTTCCTTGCCTTACCTTGCCTTGTGTGCTTCAGCACTTTGCCTTTCTCTGTGCCTTTCTTTCTGTCTGTCCTGGGTTTAGCAGTAGCAATCATTTTTCTCTTTTTTCTCATTTTTCTCTTTCTTGGTAGCTGGTGCAGTGCTGTGGTTTGACTTTCGGGCTGGGAGGGCAAGAAGTGGGGGGATTGGGTGAACAAGATGTCTGGCTGGGTGTCGTGGTTTAACCAATGCCAGGCAGCTTTCACTCACTCCCCCCCCACTTCTTGCCCTCCCCCTACTCTCGGAGGGACGGAGAGGAGAATCAGAAAGAATGCAACTCCCACGGGTTGAGATAAGAACAGTTTAGTAACTAAGGTATAACACAAATCACTACTGCTGCCACCAATAATAGTAATGATAAAGGAAATAATAAGGGAAGAGAATACAACACCTCATCACCAGCCGACCGATAACTCGCCCCCCAGCCCGACCAAACACCGACCGATACCTCCTCCAACCCTGCAGTCCACTCTAGGCCCCTTCTGGGTCCCTCTCCCAGTTACATCCTGGGCATGACGTGCTGTGGTATGGAATACCTCTTTGGTCAGTTTGGGTCAGGTGTCCTGTCTCTGCTTCCTCCCAGCTTCCCTCCTCCCTGACAGAGCATGAGGCCCACAAAGTCCTTGGCCAAACCAAAACATCATTGTTTTTCAGCTCTGTTCCCAGCTGAAAGCCAAAACACAGCCCTGCACCAGCTACCAAGAAGGAGAAAAAATGACTGCTGCTGCTAAACCCAGAACACTGGGGTTAAACCACGACACTGTCTTACATAAGATCACAAGTGGCCATAGGAATCTTCCTATGGGTGTCTAAACTGAGCCAGCTTTGATTATAGTGCCTACTTGGACACTTCTTATGTATAGACAATTCAGTTCAGCAGTTTAATCAGCTAACTGAATCCTATCCTTTCTTTTTCTTTGTGATGCTGATAAATGTGTGTTCCCGTCAATTGCTTTCACATGGTATGTTGATAACTTTGGTTCAAGACATTGTCTAATCTAGATTCAAAGACTCATCTTTTCCACACCAGAAAGGTGTATTCAGGTGCTCAGTAGTACAGGGAGGTGTGTTGTTCAGAGTGTCCTTGGGTTAGTGCCTCCATTTATAACCTGAGCTTCTTCAACATGTTTTTCCAGCAACTAGTTGTTCTTTCTGTTTTTTTCACATGTTGCATTGAAAAGAGCAAGCAAAAGCCAGTTCCAGGTAAATTGAATCCTCAGAGAGATGAGTTGAAACCCATTTCAGACTACAGGGTGTTGGTGATTGGCTTTGTGCTTCCATAAATGAAGTATAATCCCATTTTAGTTTGTCTGGCAAATAATAAATTTTTGATATAAAGGTCTGAGAACCTGAAAGTGCTGATGACAATGTCTGCAATGTGGATGAGCTCTTTAGCTTCCATGATGGCAGTATGTTTGCTGCATAGGTAATAGACTTCTTGTGCCACAATGGTGCGGTTGAGCATACATGGAAATATTGAATAGAACAAACACAACCACAGTTGTTTTCATTATGCATAGCCAAAATTGGCTAAACAATAGAGGTGTGGAGGGGGGAGGTAGCGAAAGCTTTTAGTGAAGCAGAGGGAGGTGCCAGTTTGTATTCAGTATGGTGGAGCTGAACTAATAGCTTTTGCTTCACACTTCTGTCATGACTTATCCTTACTTTATTTTGATTTATTAATTTTATTCCTTTAGCACATAGTAGCTGCATTGTGGGGAAGTACTACTGGGTATGAGGAGCTTTTTAGAGCAATTTTTGTCGATGTCCTGAACAAAACCACTTGTCTGTGTGTCTGGTGTGTGTATTGATCTTACAGACTGTCTCCTGCCAGGTGGGTAATAAATACTCAGCTGTGACAGTTCTGAAAGTCTAGCCGCCAGACCAGTCCCAGAACAATCTTTGTTGTAATGATGGGGAAAGGATCAGAGAGCAAACAAGGACCATTTACCCTTTAAAAACACTTAAATAATTTATTTTACATGCAAAAAGGCCATTAAGAAGGGAGCCTTCCCCTTGCCACTGTTTACAGTACAAGCACTGGAGTTCTGCAGTCAGCAGATGGAGTCTCTATCCCAAACTATTACTACCAGGTTTGTTAACTTTCATTAATGGTGCACCTATATCCACTGTGCTTCCAGTACATTTTCTACTTTTCTACTGTTACTGCTTTAGTGGGAAGTGTTACCTTGCAGTGAAAGGAGAAGCGGTTTCCTCTTCTATTTATCATCTGTTTACAGGGTTTTGATTAAAAGTTTTAACCTGTTTCTCCAGCCACCTCATCTAAGAAAACCCCATCAATTTCTCAAAGCTTGTGAAAGACTTGGAGAAATGACTCTGAGGCATTCACTCTCCTGACAGGCTGCCAGAGCAGAACTTGCTCTCACGCTGGCATTTTTTCTGTTATGTCATGTGCAAAACACGAGGATTTGTGCTGTGCTAATCCCTCTAATGAGAGCTTCTCCCAACCTCTATATAAACCCTGCTCAAAGCTGTGGCTGCTGGGCTGGCATCACACATCCAAAGCATCTATCTTTTGAACTGCATTCAAGACAATTTGAGACCAGGATTAAACAAACACCCAACAGCAGCATCCTCAGCAGTGAGAGGGATTACCCCAGTTGCCTGGGGCATGGAGCCACGTGAAGGACAGATTGTCCCACAGCGGCGATTTCCCTGCTCCACTCACTCAGGTCCAGCAGAGAGGCAGAACCTGCACCCAGCCATAATGGGCACCCTGAGGTGGCTCTTCTGGGCTGGGCTGGGCTACCTGGGTTGCTGCTGTCTTCCCAGGGTTCAGGCACAGTTCCCCCGTGCCTGCATGACAGTGGATGCCCTTCGCTCGAAGCGCTGCTGCCCAGCCTTGGGGACAGACCCAGACAACATCTGTGGGTCCCTGCAGGGCCGGGGATGGTGTCAGGGCGTGCAGGCAGACACTCAGCCCTGGAGTGGGCCCTACACCCTTCGAAATGTGGATGATCGGGAACGATGGCCCCTCAACTTCTTCAACCAGAGCTGTCAGTGCACAGGTGAGAGGGGTGCTGGGGGATGGATGGGTCCACTAAAGATCCACTTTGGAGCTTTGGATGCTCCAAAGACCAGAAACATCCCTGGTGGTGTAAGGCAACAAAAAGACTTCAAATATTATCTGTTTCCTAAAAAATACTGTTGTGTTCATGATACTATCAGCTCTTTTTCAGAGCAGTGGAGTCTAAAAAGTGTTTTCTCTCATGCAAACTTTTGGGTTTTCCTCTTTGCCTCTGGAGCTGCCCCTATAGCCATCCATCACCTCTCTCCATAGGGTTTTGAATGTTTCATTGCTGCCTTCAAACCTCTGTCACTGTTAATCATGGTTTGGTGGATCACTTCCAATCTGATCAGATCTGATCATTGTTGATCAGAGATGTATTCCTTTTGGCATAGAACTTGGCAGTATAATATATCCCTGTGCACTGAAATTGCATGGATGTCTGGCCATGGTGTTTCTTAGGGTTATTAACTAAGTCTGCATCTCACTCGGTTTGTACATCAGCAAAGAGGCCATCTGTCCTTTTCCTCTCCATTTCCAGCTGTTCCCTCCCACCAATGACTTTGCTTGGGCTTCTGTCTCCATATGCTGGAGGTGAAACAATCAGGGATGAGTTCTACTTGAAGACTAACCTGGCCAAAAGGACCAGCTTGTAATAAGACTAGTGCACTAGTACTGGCAGGAGAGGGAGAATAGGAAGGTGACACCAGGGCAGAATAAGATGACAGGACCCTTTCTCAGCAGCATCCCTGTTTGAAGAAGGGTTAAAATGAGCAGCAACTGCTTTGCAGACCAGACTGCTTTGCAGGGCTGGTAGGAGATGGTAGCAGGAGTCAGGCAAAAGGCACGTCTCAAGCACTGAAATCACTTGCTGGACAGACGTCAAATACAGCTTAGGATTTCTTGTTGGGAACATGAAACTGTATGAATTTTCTAACATGGGAAGAATAGCTTGCTTTCTTTTAAGCTGATTCTTAGGACTAGCTGAACTGACTTGTCTAAAATATATATTGGCTTTCACTGCCAAAAAAGCCCAGACCAATCTGAGAAGGAAGCACTGCAGAAAATTTCTGCCGATGGGGTTAAGTTTTGCAGCACTATTATCAAGTGAAAGCGGAGAGGTAGGGGCAGGTGACTTACATGCTATGTAACACTATACATGGTGTTACTGAAGCTCTTCAAAATCATAACAGACTTCAGAGTATAATTGGTTTTTATGTTGTCCTTTGACTATATTTTAAATGCTTGTGCGGAAGTACTTTTCCAGACAACTTACAAAAATTGAATATATTTTTTGTTCATTTTAAGGACTTACATAACTCCAAAACTGAAGACAGGTATTGCATACAGACATAGAATATGAGTCAGAAGAGCACTGAAACACATGGGCATACACCAGTCCAAGTGATTAGGGTATCAGAACCTAGGAGTAAGCTGTGTAGACGGACATGGTCTGCATAGGCAGACATTAATTTGCTTGTCCAGGTAAAGGTTAGCACTGGTATTTGATATTTGCATGGCTGGGTCCCAAGTTATGTGACCAGAATGTATTGTCACCTCATTCAGCCTTGCTTCTGCTGAGCTGTCTGCTCTCCTTGGCTCTTTAATTCCAGCTTCTCCCACTGTATTTTTATTTCATTTGTATACTTCAGTCTTTATTTATCTAAATATGCCAGAGATAACGTGGACAGCATTCTTAAGGATGATTTGCAGAAAGGTTTCCTGGGCTCTGCCCTTCTTGGTGCTGCAAGCAAAGGCATTCCTGGGTGAACACTAACAAGTTCACAACTGCACGGGGTTTGAATTAGATCTGATGCTTTTGCAATGGTGGCAATTGTGTGTCTGTGTCTATTAGTATTTTGCTGCACTTTTTTCACTCTGTTTTATACACTGTTCGCTGCCTGCACGTCAGAGTTTTAAATCGTGTGACATGTGGCCTTTATTAGGCATCTAGGGCTATGATGCCTGTGGTAGGTAACATAAATTAAATATCCACATTCAAAGGGACATGGAACAGTGCACATGTCTACTATTAAGGTATCTTACTTTCCAAATGAATGTTATGTGCAAACTGCCTATTTGAAATAGTTCCTGGCTTGTGCAAACTCCAACCTGTGCCAAGGCTCCTTCTGGCATTTTAACAATATAAACGGTTGTGTTCCAATGCCATCTTGGCACTGTTTAATTTATAGTTTAGACATGGTGTAAACGATAAGCTGTGGGAAATCCAACTGCCATGTAGCTAATTGTATCTGCTTAGACACTGCCATTTAAATGTGTCACATAGCTGATGGTGGTGTGGTAGGAAACCTGGAGGAGTTGTGAGGATCAGGGGCCAGGGTTTTCCAAAAGAGGGATTCTGGAGTTCTTGCAATAAAATAATCTGCTGAAAACTTTCTACCTAAGGATAAAAGGAACCCTGAAAATCTGGCTATTTGTTGCTGTTCACTGAGGAAAAGTGTCTTAATATCACGTCCATCCAGGTCTGGGTGCTGAATATGTCGGGGGGGGGGGTGGGGAGAATATCCCTAACGCAAACAGATATTGATGAGTATTTATTGTGGGATCAGATTATTTTTACATTTGCTCTCAAATTAATGTAGATTTTCTAAGGAAAATGAAAAAAAAACCCCACATTTTCCTTTCTAGGCTTTAGCAGATAATATGCACTAGTGTCTCTTTAGCTGGGGACAAACATAACAGTGTAAGATTAGTACAACAGAAAGGTTCAGCTTTAATTCCCACTTTTTGTATAAAGAGCTGTAATCAAAATGATAATTGTAAGTCTGTTGTCACGATGCTGCTTCTTGAATGTTTCATTCTGTGTTGGTGGCAGCAAAAATATAATCTCTAGAAAAAAGGATGTGGTTATGGCATGAATGTAGCCAGGAGATAGAAAAGAGGTTTTAGTTCCTAATTTCAATTTTGAATCCATTGTGTGGTCTACAATTGATTTGGGTTTACACAGTATTAATTCAATTTATATAAATTCTTAAAGTGCAATGACCTGATGACAGTTCCTGACAGTGTGCAGTACTGTGTGAAGGGCAATTTGTTTTTCAATAAGGTGTGTTGAAATAGACCAAATGTTGGATTTAGTGGTCTAACCCTGAACACTGACACTTGTAGGTAGTTACACAGCAAAGCAGTATTTTGGTGGGATAGTTAAATTTAATTTAGAAGAATACTGTTTTAGAAGATTTAGGAGCTAAGCACTATTTTGAGTTCTAAAGGAAACAAATTGTACTAATGGGATACAGATCTGCCATAACATTTTAAAACTCAGTACAGAAGGTTATTGTGAAAAAGTCACTGCAGTCAGTCATGTGGTTGCTAGTACAGATTGTGACAGTGATTAACAATGATGTAGTTTGATTCACTGAGGAGTTAAACATAATTCATTTTTTTTCCAGCCATCATTTAAGGTTGATGTGTGGACATGTGCTGAACATGACTTTTTTTTTTCCATAGAAGTTTTTTGATAAAAAATATTTAAATCTTTTCACATTCCTGTTCAATTTATAATCAAGCTGGGGACAGAAAATTTAAGTTCAAATACTTAGCTGTAAGCAAATTGCCAGGTAAGCCATGTAGCTGATATGATGGCTCTCCCATTAGTTAAAATGAGTTTTCAAAGTAGTTACAAAATGCACTTCATTTACTTAATTGTATGGCAATGTGGCTGCAGGATAATAGTAAAGTGCAACCATACCTTGATAACCCTGCTAGGTACAGATCTTCCACATTCTATAGCCTAACAGTATGTCCAGATGAAGAGCTAGAAGAGAAGAGCTATTTGTCTTGCATGATAGCAATCCTGATTCTACATTTGGGATACTGCAGTATGCTGGTCTTTCAAATCTCGTGTAACTCCTGTTTTAATGCAATGGCTAAAGAAGTCTGAAAATGGTCCTTTTTCCCCATCTGATACATGATGTTCATTATGCTGGTCTTTGTGAATTGAAGAGGTATGACAGCTGTTCCAGTTTCATCTTGGTACAAAAAAACAAGGCAGAAGATGATGAGTGTTGGATGGATTCCTTTTTACTGAACAAAAGACACCAAATTGATGGAGTTATTTATTTGTGTTATGCTCAGTGTCTGAAGGCCAGCCACATACTATGACTGCTCAGAGGTAGGCAAATCCCTGTGAGGTCAGGCAATCATTGTGATGGAGGAGCAGCTACAGTGGTATGTGATAGCTGGTGTTAGCATGGACCAGTGATATATATTAACACATACGAAGTGTTGTGTCATAAGAAGTGTCTTTTTCTCAATGTCATGCCCATGGACTGACCCACTAGGGGAAGCTGCGTGGCCATAGTGCCTACAGAAACAGCCAGATTCACCTAACTTGACTGGGAAAGAGCACTATTAATGATGGTAAGATTAGACACAGAATAAAGTTCCCAAAGCATGTGATCCCATCTCCAGACAAAAGGGTTAGTGGGGAAGACACCCCAGATGACTTTTATTACCCAGGGGCAGCATGATGGTAATTCCTGAAAGCAGTGGAAAAAGCAGGGAATGTCTGGATCCCATCTGTGACACGGTTTCCTGTGTCTGTGCCAGAATGACCTCTCACACCATGTTCTCTAGAAACCACCAGAGGTGAAAATTATCTCTGCTGTTCCTGGCATAGCCTCAGGGAAGGTAGTACACTGAATTGCTTCTTGTTAGTCAGTGAAGGAAAAAAAGTGCTAAGGCATGAATCCTTGCATGTTCCTAAGGTCCCTGTATTGAAAAAAAAATCTTGAAAGGGTCTCACTGTGTTCCTGAAAATGTCTACTGTGTGTTATACCCTGATAACATGAGACTGCTTTTCCTGCTTTCCTAGAGCTGTATAGCTGGAGTCCACCATCACCAGTGTAGCAGAAATTGAAGTTAAGTTGTAAGAGATTGGGACATAACAATTCACAGTGCTATCATCTGGGAAGTCCACAAGGCAGTAAATGGACTTTCTGAAAGCAGCAATGCATCATTTCCAGACCAGTGGCCTAGTAGAATGCTTGAGAAATAAATGCTGAAAAAGTGGTTTGGGTGAGACGTAAAACACCTGGGTCTGGGTACTGCAGTCATTCCTGTTTGCAGTGTGAGAAATCCCAGACCTCCATCAGCTCCTTACCATTCCATAATGACAGTCCTGTGATGCATGAAGTCTGCTGAAAGAAAATGACAAAAAGCAACTTTCTATTTCATGAAGTGTTGCTGTTGTGTGCATTTCTGACGAGAGACATTGCCAAATAGATCTGCAGATGATACAAAAATGTTCCACACAATCAGCAGAACTTTGCCTGGAAATTGTCTCCTCCTGTTTGCCAGTGTCTTCTTCACTGCAGTCCTCCTTCTTACTCAGTAAAAGCTGATTTCCTACTGAAAAGTGTCAGTGGGAGAACTGGGTGAAGGACCACTTGGCTTTCTTCATAGATTAGGTGGTTAAGCTGGTTAATTCTGCAGAGCATCAATTGGATTTAATTAGCACATGCCCAAGGGAAACAGGTGAGGACTCATTGGTCCACCTGGCTTCAGATCACATACACGTGGAGAAAAGCTTTTTCCCCATGAAAATAACTCATAACTTTAGGCTTTTGCAAATTCCTATTCATAGCCTCAGGGAGGTGCATAAAATATACCTAAAATATGGGTATTGTCTGATAAAATGAGCATGGGTATCAAGAGCTGGATGAATTCACAGGGCCATCATTGAGAAAGGAATAGGCACCATCAGAGCCTCAGCAAGTGAGTGGTGGAGTCTTGTTCTGGTACTAAGACCAGACAGGAGAAACGTGGTCCTGCCCTAACTTTGGTTCTGTTTGTGCTATGTTTCAGTGTGATGCTTATCCAACACTGTGAGTAGATGGGTCATTTGAATTAATGGAAGTGTGACCAAAAAAGGTTGCTGACAGATCTTTTCATGGTTAATTTCTGCTTTGTCCCCCTTCTCTTAAAAGGATTGAATTGTACCTTCTGTCGTGAGGGGAAAAGAGCTGCTTTCCAGAAGTTCATGGTCCATGTACTGAGCAAGTATGCAGATAGTGGAATACACCAAATTCACACAGCAGTTGTGCTCTTCTGTTGGGATTCTCAGGATACTGTAATAAAATCAACTTTCCATGTTCCCTGTCTTAATCTCTGCCCTCATCATAGTAACATATGCTATCTTATTTCTTTTGCAAAACTATAACGTGCTTGCTTTTTCTGGCATGTCATCATCCCCCTAAACAAATGCAGACCCCTGGTTTTGGGTGCCTTCTGTTCTAACTGAAGTGTGGCAGCTAAGCCCAGGTGCTTCTGCCCGTAACAGGCAAAATATAAGCCACACACCTGGAAGCTGTCCCCATGGAATGTCACTGGGCTATGCACAGTCGAAAACCTAGTTGAAGTCTTCACCTTTGTGATCTCTAACCTTAGCACTGGTCCCAGAGGACCCTTGGTTGTTGTTCTGCTCCCTCCTTCCTCTGGCAGCAATGCCCACTGTCCTACACCAGTGCTATGCCAGCAGCCTGCTTGTGTGCAGCAGGAGGCAGATGTCTGCTGCAGGAGCAGTTGGTTGGTTGCTCCCCATCTCCCCTGACAGGAAAAGGCAAAACAAAGACAAAGGCATCAGCAGCGGCAGAAGGGCCTTTCTGCTGCTGCTGGCAGTCTGTTGTGGTGGATGAGAGGCCATGCTTGAAGAAAGCTCTGTTTTCCTGAGCTCTTTCAGAGTCTGAGCTAATAGCCTATAGTGGACCCAATTACTTGTTTTAGGAATGATGCCAGTGGGGAATGATGGTACTTCAGTGTTCTGCAGGCTCCTATTGCAGCACCATTTAATAATGCTTAAAGCATGACCTGCAGCACTCCTGGTGCTCATCCTGGACCGTATCAGGTCTCAGATAAGAGGCATTAGTTTTTCCAAAGTTTTGTTCTTAAGAGAACTGTTTTGTTTGGGATTTTCTTTTTTTCCTGTGCTAAGGATCCATGTGAGCTGACCCTTTTTTGGCTTTGATCCTGAAAGCTTGGGAGTACTTGAGAGCTAGTCAAGCAAAGCACTTCACTTAACCTGAAGTGCTCAGCCCTTTGTTCACTGAGACTCCTCTCATGCCTGAAGGCTTCATGGAGCTCTGAGCATCTTGCAGCATCAAACCCATTACCCAGTGCTTCACCTCCCCAACTGGCTCAGTGTGATTCTTGGCCCTTGTATGTCTCTGGGAAACAAGCCATTCTTCTGGTTAGTCAACTGGCAAAGCTGCCAGTGTGCTCAGCTGCTGTCCCTTCCAGGAGCTGGCATCTCTGGCAGAAAAGAGTGCTAATTCATAATTTTTCTGCGTTCACTGTTAGTTTTCCCTGATTCACAATGTCATGACTTCTCTTTCCCTTCTGATTCAGGAAACTTTGCTGGCTATAACTGTGGTGACTGTAAGTTCGGCTGGACTGGCCCCGAATGCAACATGGAGAAGCCAGCAGTTGTCAGGAAGGATATCCACTCTCTGACGCCAGAGGAGAGAGATCAGTTCTTCAACGCTCTAGACCGTGCAAAGACAACCATTCACCCAGACTATGTAATTGCAACTCAGCACTGGAGAAGCCTGCTTGGTCCCACAGGAGAGGAACCACAAATTGCCAACTGTAGTATTTATAACTACTTTGTTTGGCTTCATTACTACTCAGTCAGAGACACACTATTAGGTTAGTGCTTTTCTTATCCAGTGATACTCTGCAGGTAAAGGGAAGGGTGAAAAGTATCATTGCTGAACAAAGGCAAGTATGCTTACTACAGCTGTGCTACTTCATTGGGCAGTGAGAGTCCCAGGAAGGGCAGACCTGAGGAGTGAAACAGTTGATGATGAAAAGCTGGTGGTCATCCACAGTTCAGGGAGGTGTGCTTCAGACCTGCTGTGCTCTGGCTCCCCACCCCATGGCTGATGGAGTACACCAGGCACACTCACGGTGCATCTTCTGTCTGACAGAGAAGTGGTTCTCAGGCCCCGTCGCTGGGTGAACTGAAGCGTGGTCAGACAGTGACTGACTTCAAAAAGGCATTCCTACTCCACAGGACAAGGTAAATGCAGGAGCAGAAGGAAAGGGCTCTGCAGTGAAGGCAGAGAACATGCAGACATGTTTGGGACCTGAGTACTTCTGCTTTCTGTAGCCATCTGCAAGCGTCTAAGGATGAGATTTGCCTGACTAACCACAGCCAGCTTTTAAAACCAAACCAGGTCAGAGGTCTGGGTATCTAATACTATGATTTCTCCCAGATCTGAATTCCAGTCCTCATAGCTTTTCTAGGCACAAGTACCTATGCTAAGCCCATTTTGCAAAGACCAGCTCTCACTGGCGACAGCACTAATATGACTTTTCTACCTGACAGTCCTATGTGCAAGCTGAACAGCCCATATCTACCTCCTTGCTAGAGGGTATCTGCTACTCTGCAGTGGGTTTTCTTCAGTGTGTCATTCTGACACTGTTCTATTTTGCAGGGCTGAAAGAAGCATTCTCTAGCCTAGCAAGAGCAAAGGTCCTTCAGGGACAGCACAGAAATGTGGAAAGGGAAAGAGGCAACTTCTAGTACTGCTGCAGTGACAAATAAATTCACATGTGGATTGAAGCTTGCTGTGGTAATAAATCCATATGTGGTTTGAAGTCGCCAGCCTTTGTGTGTCGTAATTCTCATGTGTAATAACAAGAACACAATACAAGAAACAACAAGCACAATTTAAAGAAAATTGGCAAAGAACATTGAATTACTGTTGGCAGGTTATGGAAAATGCTGAGGTTCTCGATTGATACATTGTGTAGGTCCTGCGGCTGATCAAGAGAATGAGATAATGCAGTACATATTAGCAAGGAGCTAAGATTTCAGACAATAAAAATGTTTCTTAAAAGCAAAATCCACTAAAGTGATAAGAAATCTTCACAATGTCCAACTTGAAGGGGAATGTGAAGTTTTGAGAAGTGCTGAAGTGAACAGCCCCTGAGGAGTTTTTTTCACTTGTCCCAGGTAAATGTAGCTTGTGATGTGCACGCTCTGTCCAAAGGTGCAGAGCTGCAGGTTTTTGTTTAACTCCACTCCAGGCAATAGAAGAACGTGCTGTCTTTCTCTCAAGCCTCATTTGGTACCTAAGTGCTTATTTTATCTTCCCTTTGTAGGACCTGGCCACCCGTTCACAGGTATCGATTTCTCCCACCAAGGACCTGCCTTTGTTACCTGGCATAGGTACCATTTGCTGTTGCTGGAGAGAGATCTGCAGGTTAGCTGAACAGTCTTCCTGCTCCTCATTCAGATTCTTTTACTATGTGACTTTGTTGAGCCAGACAAGGGTAACCTATTTCCTAGGATTGCTTCTTACCCAAACTCCCAGGAGTGTTTGCTCACTGATCCTTTTTTGTTTAAAGTGAAATTAGTGCTTTCCAGGTACTGATCAGTTTCTCACTGTGAACAGTGATGTGAAGGTTATCATGGAGATTTTTATTTCACCTCCACAACAGAGGACAGAAACTGTGAATTAACAGTTTTTTAACAAAATCAAAGCAACACATATACGTAAACCATGGTAGCAGGTATCATCTGGTGATGCTGAAGATACCACCCTAATGAAAGCAACTGTAAACATTATGCAAATCTAAGTATTATGCAAATCTAAGTATTATGCAAATCTAAATATCAACCTCTTTAAATGTGCCAATGTGTACATTTAATGCATACATATATTTAGCAATACATCTTTTAAAGAAATATATGTTAATGTGGCTGACAGTCAGTTGCTGAAGCATTGACTTGTTTCCATTTGCATTACTTCTACATTGGTAATGTTACTGTATTTCAGCCTTGCAGCTCTCTAATAAAAATGGTTGATATCAAAATATCTTCAGGATCTTGATTGTGTGAAATTGTAACTAACAAGCATGCACAAGCAAATGCACTGTATTCCTCTATTAATACAAGTTCAGATTCTTCCCTAGGGCTAGGCTTTCTGGAGCGAAAGCAAACCACATGCACAATTTTACCCATTACCCACTTACATCACTCAGAAAGCCTCTTCGTTGCTTATGGCTCAATTCAGGCTGTTCCTGCTCTCCTGCATGGTCTCTGAGTTGGCAGAAAGCCTAACATGGCCAAAAGAAGTGCAGTCCAACAGTAGAGAAACTAGTGACAATGTATTTGCTACGACACACTTAATGCCCCAATCTCTTGAAAGGAGTTGAAGCAACACTGTGAAGTGCACGTAGTTGAAACGCAGAACGAAAAGCAGACTATCCAGTGAAATATGCAATGAATACCCAATAAAAAAATCTTGCAGGAGTCCTTTCTTTCCTCTTGCCTTTGAAGGTGATTCTTTCTAACATGTTTCTGTCCATTGCAGCGGCTGATAGGCAACGACTCCTTTGCGCTGCCTTACTGGAACTTTGCCACGGGTAGAAATGAGTGTGACATCTGCACGGATCAGCTCTTCGGAGCACCGCGGCCAGATGACCTGGGGCTGATCAGCCTGAACTCCAGGTTCTCCCAGTGGCAAATAGTTTGTAACAGGTATGAGAATATCCAAGGCAAGCTTGCATACTGATCAAACATTGCTTTAATTCAGTACTGACAGCATGGGCTCCCCTCTCAGTGGGTGAGAGGCAGGAAAAAAGCCAAGTCATCTTTTTTAAAACTGGGAATCATGGTCAGTGTGTGTGTGTAGATGGTGCTGTGTAAATTCTCTCTCTGGTATTATGGAAGTATATTTTTTGAAGATGACTCTTTTGATACAGGATTTTAGTTGGTTCAGCCAATTTGAGGATGCCAAAAGCGAAGAGTTTGCACATTGGCAAGTATCTTTTTAAAGAAGAAATGCCTGCATGTTGCCTAACCCAACTGATTCTGGCAGCAGAAACAGAAAACTGTTTTGGCATATAGGAAGCTAGAGACAGGCTGAAAAATCTGTTCCATTGTATTGGGTGAGACCTTAATCCTGAAATACTTAGTGCGGTTTGGGGAGTGACTTCAAAGTGCCTGAGATTTCACATGGAAAACAACACAGAGACAACCAGGAGCTTGCTGCCAGCTCTCTGTAGGCATACACTGATTGGGGTGAGAGTAGGGCTTTGACAGGTTATACACATGCAGGACTGTGGTGCTTATGACATATGATGCTACCTGTTACAATACCCATATAACATTCTCCTTTCAGAGCAGGAATAGTGTGCAATCAGTCAGTTGGAGGTACCAAGAGCTCAGGGATTTTCAAGAGCTACTTGAAATTCTAGCTTTAGGCACCACTTGGCTTTAAATCTCACCCTTACTTTTTCTCTAAGATAAATAGGGCTTTGTTTTTTCTGAAAACTGAAGTGACTAAATTCTTGCCTTGCCAAGGTCAAACAAAGAAGAGGTTTTGTTTACTTCAGGAGTTTCTGAAAATGCAGTTTCATCTCACACTGAGTAGCAAAGAATTTTTTCACAAGTGTTACACTGTTTTTCTCCTCCTTCTTTCCTCTTTCTCTCCGATACAAAGGACTTGCTCACCATTAGCTACTGGGCAACCCTTGCAAAAGCAGGATGTCCTCCAGATCCTGAAAAAGAGGATGGAAAGCATTGCAGTCGCTTTACTTCTAGAGGAGATGAGGGATGGAAAGTGAAATCCCATTTTCTGTTATTCCTTGCATTTTCTCAGCCCACCCTGCAGCTTCGCAGTGGGACTTCCCTCTTTTTTAAATTAAAAAACTAGTCTTTATTTGGGACTGAGAGTTTGTCAGTTCAGAATTCAAAAGAATGTTTTATATTGTTTGGCAAAAGCTGTTCTTCCAAAGCCCTTGAGAGAGAAGGTGTGAAGAGAGTTATGCTTGCTTTTTCTGAAGCATCCTCTCTCTGTGGACAATGAACTTGGTAACTCTTGTCCAAATGATTGACGGTCCACAGAGGATGCAGAGCCACAGAAAAGTATGGCACAGTGACAGTTCTGCAATGAATTTATCTCCCAGGACACAAGAGGTAAACTGAGGTGCCCCAGGAGGTGTCAGTCCCTGACCCCTGCTCTCCCACACATATAGCCAAGGCCTTGTTCTAAAAGCCTTGGTCTAAAAGCCAAGAAGTCCTCACCTTATTCTGACTTGTGTTTCTGTTTCACACTCAGCTTGGATGATTACAACCGCCTGGTCACACTGTGTAATGGGAGTGATGAAGGGCCGCTGCGGCGAAGGCCGCATGGGAGCTCCAGCAAGCAGCTACCCACTGCAGAGGATGTCAGGAGGTGCCTTTCCCTGCAGGAGTTTGACAGCCCCCCCTTTTTCCGCAATTCCAATTTCAGTTTCAGGTTTGTTCTTTGGCTTCTCCAGAGCTGCCTGGGTCACAGGTTTTATGTGAGCATCTCTCAGCAAAATATGGTTACTGGATGCTGCTTTTACCTATCCACAGGAATGCACTAGAAGGCTTCGATAAACCAAGTGGAGCCCTTAACTCGCCAATGCTGAGCCTTCATAATTTGGTTCACTCTTTCTTGAATGGGACCAGCGTTCTCCCTCACGCAGCTGCCAATGATCCCATCTTTGTGGTATGTCTTTTTTCCCCAGTGTGAATGGCAGTAGCTGTGGCTGAAAGGCACCTATCTCACCAGAGATTTGAAGAACAGAAATAAAGTGAATTCCAAAAAATAACTCTTTTAAGTAGAAAAGGAAAAATTCTGTATCTTTTCTTGAACACTGCTACACCTGCACAATGGTCAAATAAGTGCAGAATATATAAAATATAAAATATATTATATAAAATATAAAATAAGTTCCTAGGGAGAAAAGCTGCTATTCCAAGTCATGTTGCTCTCACTCCTTTCATCAGGTGGTATCTAAATTTAATTATACCAGACAATTTAACAGCAACAAGGTAAACTGAAAGTGGGGCTTGTTAGTTTAGAGCAGCAGACTGAGAAGTTTGTTCCTTTGTTTCAAATTTTATAGGCTAAAAAGAAGCACATCTAATTTCAGGGGCTTTTGGGAAATAGAAATGATGTGGTGCTCTGGTACAGTGCTGCAATGAACAGCACAAACACAACTGTGTGAATAAAACGCCAACAGTAGACTCTGCTTACACATCTTTGTCTTCTAATAAATTTATGCCAATTGATTTTACTCTTTGCTAAACCACAGTGATTACATAGATAAATTCTAGTGCAATGAATTTTTTTCTTACCTTTATTTTAAGTTTTCAATCTTTTATCGGAGAAATTAGTCCAAACACTTACGTATTGATCTTCAGGTTATTTCCTTAATAATTCTTGAATTCCTGCATTGGTTTCTTTCTTACACAATGAAATCTTCATTTCACAATGCTCTAATGTTATGTGCAAGTTTATTTTATATAGGATATTTACTAAGTTTTTTCCAAGGTTGTAATAAAAAAAACATGAGTGCCTCATAAATTAATTTGAATTGCCTCAGACATCTGTTACAGTTGACAAAACCAACTTTCCTGTATTTAAGTGCTTTATAGACTTATAAACTCACTGGAAAAACCTGATCTAATTCACGGGTACCTGGAGCTGTGGAGCTGGTGGAGCACTTTAATATGAACACGCAGGAATCAAATTTCATGCAATTTTCCATATCTGCTCAGAGATGAGAGAGATTAAAATATGTTTGAGAGATATATTCACCTGAATGAGGTCAGAGGGCACTCACCAGAGAGGATGGGCCTGCCTATTCAATAGCCAGCTGATGTTAAGCCATCTGGAGGAAGAGCTTATTATGAAAAGGCAGCAATAAGATGTATACTGCCAAATGTCCTATGTAGAGCAATTTACTCGATTCTCATGAGCTTTCCTGGTTTCTTGTTCTGTAAAATCCACCTAAATTAGATTGCTCTCTTCTCCCTCTTTCAAAAGCTGCTGCCACGTTAGGTGAGAGTGTTTTAAATGCTGCCAAGTTATGAAAGAGCTTAATAAATGTGCTTGCCCATGACTGGCTTTGCAGGTTCTTCACTCCTTTACTGATGCCATCTTTGATGAGTGGATGAAACGGTTTAACCCCCCTGACAATGCCTGGCCTGAGCAGCTGGCCCCCATCGGTCACAACAGACTCTACAACATGGTCCCTTTTTTCCCTCCTGTGACCAACAATGAGCTCTTCCAAACTGCGGAGCAGCTTGGCTACACCTATGCCATTGAATTGCCAGGTATGTTGCAGAGGTATGCAGGCTGTTCCAAGCTATAAGACAGCTCATGTTTTCAATGACACAGGCATATGAAAAATAAGGCACCTTTCACAATAGGCATGGGTCTGTTCACATGGTTGCTAGCACGCACACACGGGTAGTTGCAACTCACCATGTAAGCTGTGGAAACTGAGTCTGCATGTACTTAGTTTACTCTGCTGCAAAATGCATCAACTTGAACTGCTCCATTCTTGACAATAACACTTCTCTGAGGCTGAAGGAGCCTTTGATTTTGGCTCCCAGTGCCAGCACTGTTTGTACCTGTTACAGGGTCCTTTAACCTGTCAGAGGTCAGGCACTCTGCCAGGGAGCTTGTCTGGCTAATGCCAGTCATTTTAGAGAATACTTGTTTTGAACAGGGCCCTGAATAATAATGTGCTGAAAATCTTATTAGAGATGAACTCTGTTAATCTTTCGATACCCTGTGGAGATGTACCTGAGTGTTTTATGTTATAAACTCCTAATTTTAAAGCTTTTCCATGTCTGTAAGTGTGATGTGACTTAGGGTTTGTCTGTTCATTTGAAAATACCTTTGACGCAGATCAGCTAAATATAAAAAACAAGAAAGCAAAGTGTTTATGCACAAAATCCAAATTTTGCAACACAAGTTGCAGTTACTTAACTTGCAGTTACAAGTGTAATAGATGCATGAAAATCAAGCTTCAGCTGCTTTGCCAAAGATTAAATTGGAACAGTTACTTTCTTCACCTCTGCATTCCTTTGGGAGGCAGTAGGTGCTTATCTAACCTATGTGGCCAGGGATTTCTTCTAAATGCTTACCATATATCTGTGGTTTTAATCTGTGGAGACTGTTTAAAGGTCTGTAGACTGCAAAAGATTGAAAACCTTGTCCTCAGGCTGCACCCACAGAGGAGAGCCCTGACTTAGGGAGGTTTGCTAGCTGCTTCTGCAGTGCTTTTCTCAGGGATGTCCCCAGAATTTTCACTAAAAATTTAAACTTCCCCTTTTATGAAATTTTTTTCTTCCTTTTGGAATACTGTCCCACCTCCTGCTTTGGAAATGCTACTGCCCCTTGAGCATGAGGTGTGCAGAGGGGAACAAAGACATCTTGTGATTCTGCTGTTCTTCTACTCCCACCTAAACAGCTCCCTGTGAAGCTGCATATCTATCCCTGTCTGCATGGTCTGTGTTCAGGCAAAGTTTTCACATCCAAGCCTTTCCCTTTTATCTAGATATATGGGTTGCTAATTCGACTTCATGTAGCCACATTAGAAATCAACATACACTGCTGGCTTTTGCTTGAAAGATGGTAAAGTGGTAAACAATTGATTTTGGGACCTTACTGAATTTGGGCGTGATTGCCTTGACTCTTGTTGACAGAGACTGCAGATTGGGGCACACAACTTTTAGCTTTTACAGATCAGTGTGACATCTCCCTGAGCCATGTCTCCTTAAACCTGCATGTCTTATTAACTTCCGAATACCTCAAGTCGTTTTGGGAGTTTTTTTGTGACTATTTAGGCAAATGTAATTATTGCCATCTCATGATATGTATTATTTTTCAGAACAGGAGAGCAGGCAATTTTTGCTTCTGAAAGCATAAAAGAAAACTCAAAATTCATCCAAGTGGAGCAGTATTAACTTAAGAATGGACAGTATTATCTGAGAAGACAGTGGTTCCTCAGAAGTGGTTCAAAATCTAGAGTTGGTCTGCAGAATGTTGCTAAGTAGTGCTTTCAGTTAAAAGTTTGACAATAGGCTGCTTTGTGGTCTTAGGAAAATTTGAGGGTTTTCTGTTGACTCAAATAGCTTGGAAACAGCTATGCTGAAATGTCATTATAGAAAAAATTGCTTAAATCATTCATAACTTTGGACAAATTAGATAAGAGAATGGTCTTTTGGTCTTGTCACTCTTAATCTTTCCCATTCTCAAGACTTTAATTTGTATGAGAGGTTGAAATTTAAATTTAGCTGTAGACTGCTCTGGCAGGAAACATCTCTGGCTCTGTTATGTGTGTCAGTTACATGGTACATTACCAGCTTCCCCTGTGGTCAGTGGGTCACTAAGCTACACAAGCAATCATAATTACCAGGCTGTCGGACATGGTTTTTCTTCCATGTGATTTGAAAAATGAAATTATGCGCTGTCCTCACATCAGACTTTCCATATTTCCAGGTTCCTTTGAAGAAACTCAAGTGCGGGCTGTCATGGTTGGATCCACAATTGGAGGAGCACTTATAGCTCTGGCCGTGCTTGTTCTGTTGCTTGTATTTTTCCAGCACCGAAGGCAGAGAAGAGGTTTTCAGCCACTGATGAATGTGAGCTTCAGCCCCAAAAAGTACATGGAAGAGGCCTAGAGCCCTTGCTCGGTTTCTCTGCTTATTCTTGTAGAAACTGACCTTGATTGCCTCATTGAGAGTTTATCACATACTCCTTTGGCAGCTGACTGCATTGTTCTCATTTAGGTTTTCTTGTTATCTTGTGAACTGTAATAAATGAAGTCTCTGGGTGAAAGGCCCAAGACAGGACAGACTTATTACCATATGTTATCTGGACTATGTGACACTTGTAAGTCATCCTCTATAGATTTAGATCGAGACAGGTAAGAATACAAATAGAAGAAAACCAACTTGAATAACCAAGATAATTTTTCACCTCAATGTGTTTTTGATTTCATTTAGCAGCCCTAAGATTGCTTAAAATTATGAATTCTACATATATATTTGATTAACATATTATTTTACAGTTATCAATAAATATGCTGAATAACATAGTCTTTTTTTAAGGTTCAGAATGTTTCATGCTGTCTGACAAAATACACTAGGAACTCCCCTGGTTGCAGTTTATTTCAGAACCATGATCAACTCTGTGTGTTATCCCCAATCAGGATGATGTTAGACATAGACAAACCTCCAATATTCCGAAAATTTTAGAGCAGAAGTTCTCTATCAGCTAGGTATACACTTGTGTTTTACCCCTAATGTTAAGGACCTCTGACAGAGTTGAAAATGTTGCTCATCCTTCTCTATTTTGGCTCTGCTGAACTGTTCATTAATCTAGACTTAAATTTCCCAAGTCCGGAACCCAGGGCTCAAGGTACCAAGGCTAAGATAGCTCACATTACCTAGTCTGCAGGTAGTGAATCAGGTTTTTGGCTATGGCACTCCCTAGACCCCATCATAAACATTCTTTTATACATTCCCTGTGTATTCCTTTATTTAGCCATAGATTTGGACCACATTTAGGTAGCTTTCCTATGTTACCTTGAGACAGGGTTTTTACACAGCAGATGAAGTCCTGAAGAGATTGTGTCAGCTTTGGTGCTTAATATGTTATATTAAATGAGTCTCAGATTTTGCATTTTGTTAGGTCCTGGTTCTTATAAAAAATCTGCTATTGTAGCCTTGAATAAAGATTCCAGTTAGTCATAATTTTGTGACTTTTTTTCTAGGCCTGCTCAATACTGGTGGTGTGGACTAGAAAGAAGATCTCAGTAGGTCTTCATTTAGCTTTGGATATGTGTAACTCACAAAACTTACCTCTAAAATGCAGACATTTTTTGGCAAAGAAAAGTTATGATTTGCTCACCACATGCTCAGACCGCCCTTGCTGCATCAAGTGGGCAATGATCTGCCGCTATTTCTGCTCTTTTGTGGTGCCTTTTGGGGGTCCCAGCGTACTTGTTCCTGGCTTATGCCCAAGATATCAATGGTTGGAGCACTTTATGTACAGCTGCTCAGCCCAGTGCCCTAGCTCCCAATCCAGGCTGCTGTTTGGGTGGTTTTGCCATGTAGGGACCAGTGTTACATGGCGCTAAGGACATCAGAGGAGGTCTCCAGGGACCTGGCTTGAGCATGTGTCATATTGGTTAGACCATGATCAGTTTCAGTTTGTAGCTAGGCTTGAGGTTCTCCACATGCCCTTCTCAAGGAGATGTCAGCCACTTTCCAGCACTAAAAGACTATGAGTCTTCACAGAGAATCATAGGATGGCTTGGGTTGGAAAGGACCTTTGAAGGTCATATAATCTAACTGCCCTGCAATGAGCAGGGACACCTTCCACTAGATCAGGTTGCTCAGAGCCCCATCCAGTCTGACCTTGAATGTTTCCAGGGATGGGGTTCATCTATCACCTATTTGGCCAACCTGTGCCAGTGTTTCACCACCTACATTGTAGAAAAAAATCTTCCCTGTATCTAGCATGAATCTCCCCTCTTTCAGTTTAAAACCATTACCCCTTGTCCTACTGCAACAGGCCCTGATAAAAAGTTTGTCCCCATCTTTCTTATAAGCCCTCTTTAAGTATGGAAAAGCCACAAACAGGTCTCTCTGAAGCCTTTTCTCTAGTCAGAACAAGCCAAAACATGCATCAGTTAATGCTAAATACTGATTTAGAGAGATGCCGCTGGACAGACATTGACACCTTTTTGGCCTTCAAGTGGTATGAACACCAAAGCTTAGGAGACAGGATAGGCTGCTATTTCCAAGGTTGAATGAGATTTTCCCTTGGGGTCAAAGGGTACCAGACTAGCTTCACCACCTTGGAGTCCCAAATGTTTGAGTTGCAAGCTGCCCTGGATATGGGCAAATGACAGTGGCGGTGGGGTAGAGAAACGTATTAAAAGAAATGTAGAATAGCAGATAACTTGTTAGAACTGATTTTGTCTGACAAAGGAGAGTTGCTCTGCTCTTGCTTGTAAATTAAGTGGAAAGCTACTTTCCTTTCCAGAAAAAAACCAAAACATTGAGGACACTAGATTGATAATATGCACATAAAAGATACTGGGGTCAGAGATCCATGCATTACTCTTTCCGCTCGCTGGCCCTTACTTTAATAATTAGGGCTTTAAATGCGACTTAGGAGCTGCTTGCGAAGACCTGGCAGAGGCAAGCTGTCTGGAGTGCACAGCCTGCCCTCTAGCGGCTAAGTGGAAAATTACCTGGTGACACCAGAAAGCTGTTCTAGAAGTACAGCCTGGGTCTAGAAACCGAGGACAGTTGTGTCCTTGGTGAAAGGGGGAAGGGTAAGTAATCTCCACATGAAATGCTTAGAAAGAAAGGAAGTTGAGCACAAGCACATTAAAAAACGGATGGAGGAAATCCTGCAGCAAATAAAGGTTGGTTTTACATGTTCTAATGTTCCATTCATCCAAACCTACAGAAAAGGGACTTTTTTTTTTTGTCTGTTTTTTTTTTTTTTTTTTTGTTGCTGGTTTATGCGGGCGTTAGTAAATACCTCCCATCTCATGTTGCATAAATCGTACTGAAGCTGTTGCTGCTGGAGTGGGATGAAGAGGAACTCCCAAAGGCTTCCATAGACTCCTAAGATGAGGGAAACTGTTGAAAGCACACCATACCACATCTCCACAGAGCCCAGCACTCTCTGGGTTTTTGCTCCTACAAATCAGTGCAAATCTTGACCTCAGCTGGTGCCCAGGGTCCATTTCTGCCCATCACCTTTTTCTCTCAGACTCATAACTGAGCAGTCGTCCAGCCTGGCGCAGAGAGGAAAGGTGAGGGACCAACATATCCATCTTTCTGGTCGGTTTTTACTCTAGACATTTTGCTGTCAGATGGGAGATGCACTCCTGAAGGAATTCAAGCTGAGATGGGTGTAATCATCACTACCCCACTGAACTTCCACCCTTAAAATAATTCTTGCTGAATCCCTGCTTTCTTCTGACAAAAAGCTCTGAGTCCCACTGGGATGTTTAAGCTCTGGAGAGGGATAAGTGCCCAAAACCATCTCTTTGCCAGCCTTTTTGTTAGCTAGACCCATGCAGCTTCCAGCTCTGCCTGCAGGGCTTTTGTGTGGATTATCTTTCTAAGGAGTTTAATTCTCTCTAGTCACTAGTTAATTACTCTCTCAGTTGGTTGTACTGGAGCTGTGGGCAGCTAATGCCTCTTTCTGAGTCTTCCAGTGGATCAGGTGCCTAATTTTTTGATTCTGTAGTAAGCTGGTGGCAACCACATTATCTATGTCAGTCATGGCCTGAGCCTTTGTGCAAATGATTATCATGAAAATACTCTGAAGGAATTAGTGAGAACCTGGTTTCAGAACGGAATTAAATCTCATTGCTGGCTGTTTAGCTAATTGCTTGAAAAAGAATCTGTTACCAGTCTGCCCCTGCTTTAGGAAAGTAGCAATGTAAAGCAACCACTTCTTATGGCTATTATTGTAAAATTGGAAGTTGCAATACCAGTACTGACTTCCTGTCCTGGGTTCAGCAGTAACAGTCATTTTTCTCCTTCTTAGTAGCTGGTGCAGTGCTGTGTTTTTGACTTTCAGCCTGGGAACAGCGCTAATAACACCGATGTTTTTAGTTGTTGCTAAGTCATGTTGACTCTGACCAAGGACGTTCTTAGTCTCATGCTCTGCCAGGGAGGAGGGAAAGCTGGAAGGAAGCAGAGACAGGACAGTTGACCCAAACTAGCCAAAGAGGTATTCCATACCACAGCACGTCATGCCCAGTATATAAACTGGGGCAGTTACCTGGAAGGGCTAGATCACTGCGTGGGTCAGGCTGGGTATCGGTCAGTGGGTGATGAGCAGTTGTATTCTTTTCCCTTGTTATTTCCCTTATCATTATTATTATTGGTGGTAGCAGTAGTGGTTTGTGTTATACCTTAGTTACTGGGCTGTTCTTGTCTCAACCCGTGGGAGTTACATTCTTTTGATTCTCCTCCCCATCCCTCTGGGAGCTGTGGGGGGGGAGAAAGAGGGGGAGTGAGCGAGCGGCTGCATGGTTCTGGGTTGCCAGCTGGGCTTGAACCACAACAGTTCTTTTTGGAGCCTAACATGGGGCATGAAGGGTTGAGATAATGACAGATCTGACCAGAGTGTGTTTCATCGTATTTGTGATAAGCATTCATTGTTTTGGATTAATAGTCACTCGTCACAATGCTGATTTATTGGCTCTCAAAGTCATTGCTCTTGATCTCACAGTTTCAGCATGTCGTACCCTACTTACAGCCGGTATTTGCTGTGTTAGTGTTTATCGGCTGGGGGCCTTGGGCTAAGGTTTTTGTTTCACTGTACCTTATGTTAATGACTTGTAATACAATAGACTCATTGATCATGAAACTGATCTGTCTTGCATTCCCAGTGTGGTCACTACCTTTGTACTTCGGGAGGTATATAATAGAATTGTTTAAAAAGTACACATCTTTTTTCCCCTCCTTGGGTGGTCAACCTGTGAAGGAGACATTCCCTTACCTTCCCAGCTCCCCCAACAGACTGTTTACAGCATCATTTGAGAGTTCTGGAGGTTTTGAATGGCCTTTGGGTACCCTTGAGACCTGCCTGCTGATTGTGATGGGGATCACCATGTTGGCACTCATACAGAATGTGTTTTACCCATGGAACTCCTCTGGTCTTGTCAAAGTTCATTCTCTGTTGGGATGATGGTAGGAAGGAAGTCAGGGCAGTTGCTGGTGACCTGAATTTTCATCTAGTTGGTGGGCTATAAAAGTGCTACATAGCAGGCACCAGCATACAATTAATTTCACTGGCTGTTTTCCCCTAAAATCAAATCCCCTTGAGGCACACATCAGACTTCCCCATCTTCCTGCATTACCCACCAAGTATGTCTGGGTCCCTGAGCAAAAGCAATCCCACAAGTGGGTTTGCCTTTACTTGAAGCAGGAATAACCCAGATTATCTTCCCCAGCAAATTCTTCATGTGTACCACAGGAACTTTATTGCCTTCTACAGTAGGTAAAAGTTCTGACTGGGCTGGGCCAGCCCTGTTGGCAGATCCTCTGGTGTTGACCAACCAGGTGGCCTTTGGTAAGTGTGTATCCCGAAGGGAAAGTTCCCCCACCCGTTGCTCTCAGTGTAGTTTTTAACAGCCCATTGTACCGTTCGATTTTCCCAGAGGCTGGTGCATGGTAAGGGATGTGATACACCCACTCAATGCCATGCTCTTTGGGGAGATGTGCGCCCGTACTTCTAATGGGAGAAAAGAGAAAGAAGAGAAGCAGATTCAAATCCTGTTAGCTGAATTTAGTAGTGAAGGCACACACTTACAGAAGCAGGTGAGTAGGCTGATGGCAACCAGGAAGGAAACCTAGTTCCCTGAAGTACCTGCTTTGGCCCTTTATGCTGTATATGTGCCCAGTTCAACGCTCTGCACAGAGCTGCCTGGAGAAAGTCAGGTTACAAACAAAGCTACATCTATGATCCTGCTTTGCTTCAGTACTCCTGCAGCCAAGACACAGCAGGTATTCTTTATCTAAAGCTCTGCTAAAAAGTAGGCTTTCTGAGACCTGGATTGACAGAAGAAATGGTACCAGTGCTGGACATCTTTTTATACACCAGATCTCTTTCCCTGTGAGATCCAGGAAGAGAGATTTCATCTCCTCCCCTCCTAAGGGCTGAAAAACCATGGACATCAAAAGTTACCTTT